TTGGCGAAAATGGCATCGAAAACTACCAAAATGGTCAAATAATATTACACATTCAAGGGTTTTCTTACCATGACCCAGATTGATTGCACCAAATTGTATTACTAATTGTACTAGTATAGATGATTGCTTTTAATACTTACTTACTTTCCGTGTCCGGATAAAAACACCAGCTCAATTAGATATTATTTTTCCAATAATCTGCCACATATATGGCTTCGTCATTTGCCTCATATCATATTATATATCATATCATTAATAATAAAATATAAATAATTGAAATAAAAGTGTAGGATGTTTGCATAAAATGGCACCAAAACCACGAAAATGGTCAAATAATGTGACAAATTCATAAATTCTTTTTACCATGAATTATTTGAATTTCAACCAATCTCTATCATTTTGTTTAAATAAACTGACATTTTTAATAAATGTGTAATTTTGAAAATGCTTTTGGGCTGTAATGCAGGGTTCTGTTGCATTAAACAAATTATGCAACATGACGCGGTCCCCACCCCGCAGCATTTAATTATATTTTTTTAATTAAAAGCAATCATTTATACAAGTATAATCAGTAATAAAATTTGGTGAAATCATTCATTCGGGTACATGGTATAAAGAATTTGTGAATGTGTCACATTATTTGACCATTTTCGTGGTTTTAGTGCCATTTTACGCCAACATCCTACACTTTTATTTCAATTATTATATTTTTTATTTATTAAAAGCAATCTTCTATACTAGTATTATTAGTAATAAAATTTGGTGCAATCATTCGGGGTCATTGTAAGAAAAAATCTGTAATGTAATAATAAAAGCAATCGTCTATACTAGTACAATCAGTAATAAAATTTGGTGCAATCAATTAAGGTCATGGTAAAAAGAATTTGTGAATGTGTCACATTATTTGACCGCTTTCGTGGGTTTGGTGCCATTTTACGCAAACATCCTACACTTTTATTTATATTATCATATTTTTTTATTAAAGGCAATCTTCTATACTAGTATTATTAGTAATAAAATTTGGTACAATCATTCGGGGTCATGGTAAGAAAAAAATCTTCAATGTATAATATTATTGAACCATTTTCGTGACTTTGGTGCCATTTTTTACGCCAACATCCTACACTTTTATTTCAATTATAATATTTTTTTATTAAAACTAATCATCCATACTTGTACAATCAGTGATAAAATTTGGTGCAATCATTCGGGGTCATGGTAAGAAAAAATCTTGAATGTATAATATTTGACCATTTTCGTGGTTTGGTGCCATTTTACGCCAACATACTACACTTTTATTTCAATTATCATATTTTTTTATTAAAAGTAATCTTCTATACTAGTATTATCAGAAATAAAATTTGGTGCAATCAATCAAGGTCATGGTAAAAATAATTTGTGAATGTGTCACATTATTTGACCATTTTGGTAGTTTTCGACGCCATTTTAGCCAACATCCTACTCTTTTTTTTCAAATTATTATATTTTATTATTAAAAGCAATTATCTATACCAGTATAATCATTAATAAAATTTGGTGCAATCAATCATGATCATGGCAGGAAGAATTTGTGAATTTGTCACATTATTTGACCATTTTCGTGGTTTTGGTGCCATTTTACGCAAACATCCAACACTTTTATTTAAATTACTATATTTTATTATTAAAAGTAATCATATATAGTAGTACAATCAATAATAAGATTTGGTGCAATCAATCAGGGTCATGGTAAGAAAAAATCTTGAATGTGTCACATTATTTGACCATTTTCTTTGTTTTCGACGCCAATTTCGCCAACATCCTACACTTTTATTTTAATGACCATATTTTTTATTAAAAGTAATCATCTATCCTAGTACAATCAGTAATAAAATTTGGTGCAATCAATCGGGGTCATGGTAAGAAAATATCTAGAATGTGTCACATTATTATTTGACCATTTTCGTGGTTTTCGACGCCATTTTCGCCTACATCCTACACTTTTATTCTAATTATTATATTTCTTTATTAAAACCAATCATCTATACTAGCTAGTACAATTAGTAATACAATTTGGTGCAATCAATTAGTGTCATGGTAAGAAAGATTATACGTTTTTAAAAATATTTTACTATTTTCTTTGTTTCGGTGCGATTTTACACCAACATCCCACACTTTTATTTCAATTATTATATTTTATTATTAAAAGCTATTGTATATACTAGTACATTCAGTAATAAAATTTGGCGCAATCAATCAGGGTCATGGTAAGAAAAATCGTCATATTATGTCATATTATTTTACAATTTTTCTGGTTTTAGCATCCTTTTCGCTAAGATCCTACTCTTTTAGCGAATTTCCCTATAGGGAAGTAGCTATTACCGTAGGTGGCACGGCAAGACCTAGACCCGGGACCGATTTACTTTTTCATTTTGATGTCCCCAGAGGCCAAAAACACCATTCGTTCAAATTTTTATATATGTGTATATATATATATATATAGACTTATATATATATATATATATATATATATATATATATAGACTTATATATATATATATATATATATATAGAGCCTATATATATACGTCCGTGAACGCGAGAAATTGAGTAATTTTTGTCCGATTTTGATGAAATTTGGTTTAAAGGTTTAAAGCGGGATAAACTTGAATGAGTTCGCGAACCAGCACGATCGGACCATGGGAACGGGGCTTTACGGGGGGTTTTATGGGGTAAAAATTGGTTTTTCTCACTTTTGACCCTCAAAACACAAAATTTCCCGATTTCTCTTTAGACCTTTTTAAAGAGCTTAAAAAACAAATAATTTAGTATATAAAAGTATTTTTGTTCGATTATTGGTAATGAAGAAAATTTAAAAAATTGTAAATTTAAAATTCCCATGTTATTCTTATGGAGAATATTGTCAAATGTTGTAGTTTGGCTTGTTTATGGATATATTTTAATCAAACTTGGCAAATTTTTTTATTTTGTACTAAGCTATCAATATTTTACTCAAAAACACACTTTATTAGTTTCCTTGTAGCAGCAAACCTAGGTACTCGTTAAACCTAATGTTATTAAAATATATTTAACTGAAAATCAATTCATACAAATGGAAATTCGCTTAGTCGGCAGGTTTGCTGCGGCGGGGGTGTTTTTAATTTTCATACCTTATTCAAATCAATCATGTTTCCTTATTTAATTAATTATACAATTTGGTGCAGTTTAAATAGGGTCAAGGTAAATACATATTTCTTATTCATCAAAAATTTGAGAATGATTTCACCAAAATCACTATTTTTGGCATTTGCGTAGTTTTTACCTCCAGCCAAGATTACTTATATTTAAGTTTTTATATTATTTTATTAATGCATTTTTTTAATTACAGAGTAATTCTCATAATTATATAGGTTATAACACTTAAAGCTTAGAGTTTTAGAAATATAAAGTACGGGTATAGGAGGTCTACTTGTACAAAGCACTGACTACTTCGTAGGGGTAGGGGTAAACCATCGATCTCTATTATTTAACGTGGGTAAACCATAGAACTATAAACAAAACTATAAACTTGTTGTAGTTCTATGGGGTAAACTCAAATGTCTGGCGGAGGGGGAAACTTTGGAGACTCGACCTTCTCCAAAGTTTTTGAGAAGGCAGTGCTGAGTAGATTGTGGATACTTTTTGAGAAACACAGCATACTATATAAAAGTCAGCACGGGTATGTTAAAAACAAATCGACGACAAGCGCAATTCTCAGACTCATACACGGAATTGTAAAATATATGGATTCTAGACTAGCAGTAGCTGGTGGTGTGTCTCAAAGGTCCATCCTTGGCCCTCTGCTGTTCTTACTATACATAAATGACTTGAGCTCAGTCCTCACACACTGTAAATACCACATGTATGCTGACTACTTACATATTTATACACATTTTTCAACCAAACAGATCAACGAAAGTGAACTGGTATCTAATTGTTGATACCAGTTGATTGAAGTTGTTGACTGTTTTTTAGTAGATCATAACTTATTTCAAGGAACGAATAACAGTTACAGCGGAAAGCTGTGAGAAGCTAATACCATAGACTAACCAACACAAGTACTAAGGGAGTATGTTTTATCTAATGCTAATACCAAAGATTACATATGCTAATACCATTGACTATATATACCTTATTACCTTATCGTTAGGTTATGATAGTTTAATTTTATAATAAAAAAATTATATAATTAATCTTGTATGAGACATTTATAATTTTATTTTATGAACAGAACTATTTTTGTTATTAGTAAACCTTCATTCGAAATTTTCATTATCAGCAAGTTTGGTTAGTTTGGTTAGGTTATGACAGTTAAATTAATTTAAATTTAACCTACAAACGACACGTTTTGACAGCGACAGTGATAGCGGTGGGGCACACGGAAGATTTCTCAGGTACCGTTTGACGTCACTAACTGCTGACGTCACTAACTGCTGCGTCTGAAGAAACAGACAATTTTATAAATTTTCTATTATTAAATTAAACTGCCATAACCTAACCAAACTAACCAAACGTGCTGATAATGAAAAATCAAATGAAGGTTTACTAATCTAAAAACTAGTTTTGTTCATAAAATAAAATTATAAATGCCTAAAATTCAATTTTATAATTTTTTAATTATAAAATTAAACTGTCATAACCTAACCAAACCAACCAAACTTGCTGATATGAAAGAAAATTGTTGACAAAAAGTTAATGCTAGCAGCAGGATTCGAACCCGATACGTTCGGATTATCAGCCCGACACGCTATCCACTTCACCACCGAGGCCGATGGTTCATTGGGTATCGTTGCGGTAACGGTGTTCCCTCAAAGTTACGTCAGCAGTTAATGACGTCAAACGGCACCTGAGAAATCTTCCGTGTGCCGTTTTGCAGTGATAGAGCTAACAATTTCCCACAAACAGTTCGGCAATGCACGCTACGAAAAACGATGCGTTCTGCACGGCGCGGTGGTGGGCGCCGGGCGGTGGCGGTCTGACGGCAAGGTCTCGTTCTCGTACAACGGGGAACGGTGGGTACAGACAGAACGTCGAGTTGTGTTGTATTTGTATAGGCTAGTCAATGTTAGTAATTAATTACGAAAAAGCATCGAAATTATCACATTTTACATGTTTTCTGGTTAAAGAAAGTTAGTTTATTTATGACAAAATTATTAAATAACCGTGTTTTGAGTGGTCCATATAATTTATTTCTCTGCTGATTGAAGTAGGCCTAGGTAAGTTTGTTAAACCTAACCTCAATGTTAGTTAATTCATTTAGGGTAAGCAAAATTAACCAAATACAATAAGCGTTAGCCATTTCAATATAAACTAAAATAGGTAGGCCTATACAAATTCTTATGTAATACATTTGTAAAACTATTTACCTAGGCCTAGGCCTACTGGTTGTGAATAACTTACCAGCAAAAAAAAAAAAAAAAAAAAATCCGGACGCTGTACTGCTGCAGTAGATCTTACTTTTTAAGAGCAGTTTCATCACTGGCTCTTTTTAAAGTCTGTGTCACAGTGACGGTGTCATGCTCGGTATTCAACCCCAGAGGGAGGCTGGGGTACAGTTTCTTAACTGGGCTACGCTAACTTAATATCGATTAAAACTACCGATTTGATTAGTCATCATGCGATTTTTTTTCACCATCAGCAAGTTTGGATGGTTAGGTTAGGTTAAGTTGTGATAGTTTAATTTTATAATAGACTAGCTTGGCCCGACAGACGTCGTCCTGTCCTTATGTCGAATGCTCGTTCATTTTCAAGATGAGTTCGTTCGCATGGCTCAATCATGTCCTGTTTTAAGTTCATTCGCTACGCTCACTCACCTTTAGGTTGGAGCTTGTTTGCTGCGCTCACTTGCCTTCAGGTTAGTTCGTTAGCTACGCTAACTCACCTCCAGGTTGAAGTTCGTTCGCTACGCTCACTCACCTTTTGGTTGCAAATTAGCTGTTGTCATAAATTTAAAAAAATAATTGTGCTGCACCCTGTTGGTGAACCTATTAATTTTTGAATGCTATTGAACATCACAGAATCAAATTCTTTAGTTGAACCAGCTGTTACGATTCTTTTAATTCCATTTAAATATGAATACCGTACTCATAGGGTTAACATGGGAAACTCCAGAGCCACTGGGGCGGAGCCCTTTTGACGGATCTGCACCAAACTTCACACAAACCTTCCTTGAATAATGCTTAATAATACCTGAAAGTTTCATTACAATCTGTCGAGCGGTTTCGTAGTCCATAAAGGACAAACAAACATACATTGGATTTTATATATATAGATACCTATATTTAAAAGCAGATCAATATTATTAATCAATATTTTCAATTTGATTCAATTATCAATTATCAATCATCAATAGCCTAATCAATTATTTAAGATTGGGACGCTAGCATTTGACTTTTGCATTTTATTAAATTGGAAACAGATCTTTAGAAAATGGCTAGAGTACCGTAGATACATCTATTTATTTCCTGTAAAAAGACAAAGTGTATGTAATATTTTTCTAAATTTCATTAGCCTAAATATGTGATTTTTAATTCAGATTATATCAATCAAATAAATTAATTTTGTAATGGGTCTGTATATTAAATAGATTAAGCGAATGAATAGAAAGTACAAGACCTACTCTATGCAGAAAAAAAGGTAAAACATTGTTTCAGACTATATGTTAATTTACTTGCATTAAAACATTAAAGAAATCAAACAACAATAGTGGCTATTAGGCTACAAAACATTGAGAAATGTTTTGCAGTATTATCTATATATTAATAGGCAAGCATGTTTCTTTAAAACCTTTTTTCTCAGCTCGTTTTTATTAATTGGTTTTATACAAAAGAGTGCAACCACTTAAAGTATATCCATATACACCATGGTGTAAATATAAATATTTATATCGGAGTATTGTTATTTTCTCTTTCAATCGATATTATTGTAGCCCAGTTAAGAAACTGTACCGGGAGGCTGTACAGCTTTAGTGATGTGACGAGTCAAGTACTTTCCCGACTTGAATCAATTTGACTCGATACCGCAACTACTCGAGTACTGGACTCAATTCTTACCTGTATAGCTCTGTTGACTCGTAGCTGCGAATTCTGGAAATGAATCTTGTCTAGACTCGAGTCAGAAGTCAGACAGACTTGGTTCTGACTCGTTTTATACTCTGTCCGTCTGTGTAGATTTAAGATGGAGCGAGATGGTTATTCATCTCACATTGAGTTGATAATTAACTAGGGTATGGATTTTATTGGTTATTATAAAACTTTATTGGATTAACGAAAGAAATTTAATAACAAACAGTATCTTGACTCAAGTACACCATACTCGAGCGCTATGTACTCTTAGCGGATGGTTTTGAAACTATATCTTGAACAGTCAAAAACAGTGTATTATTACGAACTGTCAAGCACTCAAGTGCTGTCGACTCGTAGTGGTAAAATCTGGAACAACATCGAGACTCGACTCGAGTAGATGAGTATTAAATGCACCCAACCCAAGCGCTATGGACTCGTAGTGGCGGATCTAGTAAGCTTTAGTTCACGAGTAGTAGTACTCGAGCATCGCCGATTTGGTACCGTATCGAGTCAACTCGATACTTCATTGTACTCGATTCTTAACAAGTCAATTACTGGACTCGTCACATCACTAACAGCTTTGTAGCGTTGTACTGAAAGTGATGTTTGAAGAATAAAGTGGAGTGTTAAGTGATGGGAATGTTGTTAACTTAGTGTTTCGAAGAGAATACTTGTGACAAGAAGAAACATCAAACATGTGAAGATTCTTGTCTCCAAAATGTACGAAGAAGGAAAGGTTAGAACATTTTATACTGTCTAAAGATTTCCCTGCAAGATTGCTTTTTCGAGAGGGAGAAGATTACTCTTATAGGCTAGAGCCTTCTTTTTGAGACGAAACAAAATAGCAGAGTCCTTTGGTCTTCACTTCCTCAGACAGATACGGCATATGAAAGATATGGAAATACCATGCCATAGTACTTATGCAGGTAGAAGTACCTCACCACCAGCCTTTTCTTTCAGAATTTGAAGAACAAAAACCTCGGTGAAGACTTCATTGGTTACACTTTCAATGTGATGGCGAAAGTTCAAATTTTCGTCCAATATCACACCAAGAAACATTTTGGGACAAGGGCACAACTTTGTCTTAGAAGAGCGTTAAGGCCACAGTTGTTTGCTGACGATGACCTATTGTCATGTGAAAGTTCAACATTTGAGTTTCCTCTGACATTTAAAATCAGCTGATTTTGATAACACCACTGCAGAAGACTGTTTGACTCTAAAAATGCCATTAGCTCCAAGGATTCCATAGATGAACTGGAAAGAGTGAGGGACGTATCATCGGCAAATAGGCAAGTCTTAAACGAGCTGAGGACACTTTTAGGTAGGCTGTTATTAAGGAACAACATGGGACCCAAGACAGGACCCTTGGGGCACTCTTCTCTTGATCAGATCTGTAGGCGAAGCATTCTGTCTCTTATTACCTCCTCCTTTGCTTGAGACCAAATGTATTGGATAAACAGTGTCAAATGGCCTAGACCTTAGATAACAAACCCCATTTATGTTGGGCATGGAAACAACCTGTTACCTATCTGTCCGTCAAATAGGAAGCAAACCAATCTAGTGCCACCCCTCTGATTCCCAAGTTGAGCATCCTTGTCATAAGTAAATAATGGTTTACCATATCAAATGCCTTGCTTAGGTAAAAAAAAAATATGCCTGTTACGTCATACAACCTGTTGTCCTTTTCACAATTTTTTTTCATTAGGCACTAAGCTAAGGATAGCACTTTTTTAAATCCATGTTGGTTTGGGACAAGTAGTTAATGTGTTTCAAGGAAGTCGTACAGTCTATTCAAAATAGCCTTTTAAAAAATGTTGGATATTGTAGAAAGCAGACTGATGGGCCAATAGTTATCATAGGGTGTTTCATCTCCTTTCTTATAAACTGGTATAACCACTGCTACTTATAGGGCTGATGGAAATGTCTCCTCGACAAAAGGAATGGCTTAGTAGGTGGCATACATAACGGTCAAGCTATTTATTCGCCAATCGTCTTTAGCATTTTAGGAGAAATTTCATCAACTCCTGCCGACGTTTTACATTTCATTGAGTTTATTAAGATTATGCTTTTTATTTCACTTTCTGCGACGGGGGTAAGAAAAAATGATTGGCCTTTGTGTCTGTTATGTGATATTGCATTATTTTTTACCACGCTAGGCAAATTCTCCCCTAAAATGCTTGTTGAGTGCCTCACATAGCCTACTTGTTAAGTAATAAACAAAATATTTCTTCTGAAATATATGTTGCTAAGAAAAATCAAACCATGTTAGCTTCAACGAGTGGAACTGTAAAATCCAAAGAATGTATCCTGAATAATGTGCTATATGTTCCTGAACTCAGTAAAAACTTGTTGTCTGTTTCTGCAATAACTAATAACAAGCTGCTACACCCGTGCTTTACAACGGGAAGAAAATGTGACCTAGAGAGCTATTAAAGTCGTGCTGATGTGATTTAGTTCTACTCTATGATTTAGTTTAAAAATATAAACAGATTTAAAAGAGTAAACCTACTTACTTTCAAACCCCTACTTTTGATGTTAATAGATCCCTAAGAATATGACAACATACCTTAGTTTAGCAATAGCATCAAATATTGCTTCATATTGATGCTTTATGAATGACATGTTTTACCATTTTCTTCAATTTTATTCAAGCCTCTTCAAATATAGCTTACTATATAAATAAAAAAATGAAACTTTGAGCAATTCTTTACAAAACATATACAACCTCACTTTAAAACCAAACATAACCCTCCTCAAACTACATAAAGCAAATACGGTATCTTATTCGAGTAAATAAACAAACACCAGTTCATTGTACTGACCAGCTGTTTTATTAACTAAATTAAATTAAATCATGTAAACATTGGAAGCATGCCAGACGTAGCCCTTTGGAAATCAGCCTGTGGGGCAGAGCCCATAGGAAATTCATCCATATCAATACTTTTCGACAAATCTACAAACTCTAAGCTTCATGTACAGCTTTGACCAATTTATTCTGTGACATGATTGATGCCAAGGACAAAGGGAAACATAGCTCACTTGTCATGCTTGATTACTCCAAAGCATTTGATTCCATGGACCATACATAGTATGCTGATTGCAAAAATGAAATATATGGGTTTTAGTGATGGAATCACTACCTGGATTCGCTC